TGCACTGACCACCAGGGGACAGCTCCTGCATTGAGCGTCTGCCCCCTGGTGGTCAGTGTGTATCATAGTGACCAGTCGTTCTGCTGTTAGGGTCAATTTGCATATTACCCTTTTATTATATAGGATTGGTTTGAACTAAGTAAAATTTAAAAATGAGTTTCTTAGTCACACTAGCCACATTTCAAGTGCTCAGTAGTCATATATAGCTAGTTGCTGCCATACTGGACAGCTTAGATATGGAACTTTTCCCTCATTGCAGGAAGTACTCTTGGACAAGTCTTCTAAGCAGTCCAGTCTGGTGGGTATAAAGAGCATTGGTGAAGGGAAAATCAAGTTAAAGGGACAGGGAGAAGCTGTACCTTGAAAGAATTTAGGCATTGCTAAGGAGTTCAAGTTTACCCTTAAAGCTATTTGAGGTATTTGAATGATTTTATATGGAGGTATGATAGGATCCATTGTGTGTTTTAGCTAGATTCTTCTTCTTTTTTAAGCTAGATGCTTCTAAAAGCAGGTGGAGGACCAGCCTGGAGACAAGTAGAGAGGTCTCTCCACTGGAGGAAAGAGAACAACCCGAGACTATTGCAGCTTTTTTGTTTTGTTTTTTTTTGGCGTTGCTTTGTGGTTGAGCATCGACCTGTGAACCAGGAGGTCACGCTCTGATTCACAGACAGGGCACATGCCTGGGTTTCAGGCTCTATTCCCAGTAGAGGGCGTGCAGGAGACAGCTGATCCATGATTCTCTCTCATCATTGATGTTTCTTTTCTTCCCTCTCCCTTCCTCTCTGAAATCAATAAAAATGTATTAAAAGAAAAAAAAAGAATAAGGACCTGAACTAAGGCAGCAGTAAGAAAAGGAGAAGGGGATGGAAAGCAGGTGGGAGAAAGGTAATGAGTTTGCAGAGCTTGGAGATGCTTGAACTTGGGATTTAAGGAAGAGGGGGACCTGAAAGGCAGTGGATAAAGGGATGATGGTGAAGGTACTCGGTAAGGGAGCCTGGGGAGGAATGCTTGGGAGTACAAAAGCGATGAATTCGCATTGTGCAGGCAAGTAGCAGAGGGGCTAGAGCTCATTGGAGAGAACCTGCGCTGCGGAGCCCTCATTATGTAAGTGGTGCTTGACGGTAGGGTAGCATGGTGACGGGGTAAGTCTAAAGCACGTGAGGAGTAGAGGAGCAGGGTGGCACCTGGGGGAATTCTGTACTCCTCTCTCCTAAGGGGCAAGTGAGAAGCAGGCACTCACAAGAGAGGAGTAGGAAAAGCAAGAGAGAGCAGGGTTACTAAATGAGGGGGTAGAGTGTCAAGAAAGGAACGGTCTGCAGTTCAGTTGCAGCAAAGAATTCAAGGAACTTAAGGAGTAGGCAGTGGTTGTTACTGCTAAACTTAATAAAGGCAATTTTATTTGAGCATTGAAGGCAGAAAGTGGATTATGGTTGGTTTAGGGGTACATGGGAAGTGAGGAATTTGAGTCAGTAAAGATTGATAATTTCAAGAAATGTTAAGAGAAGATGGTAATTGAGAGGGTTGCAGGGATTTGAGATCTGAGAAAATGAAACATGTTTATGTGCAGAGGGTAGAAGTGTCAGAGAAAGGGAAGTTGCTTGAAGAGGTGGGGAGAATGAAATTGGAACACAGATGGTGGAGAGATTAGCTTTGAACAAGGAGAAGCATCTCTTTCACCAAGACGGCTGTGGATGCAAATAATTTTATAAATAGCAGAGGAAGCCCTAACCGGTTTGGCTCAGTGGGTAGAGCGATGGCCTGTGGACTGAAGGGTCCCAGGTTCGATTCCAGTCAAGGGCATGTACCTTGGTTGCGGGCACATCCCCAGTAGGGGGTGTGTAGGAGGCAGCTGATCGATGTTTCTCTCTCATCGATGTTTCTAACTCTCTATTCCTCTCCCTTCCTCTCTGTAAAATATCAATAAAATATATTTAGAAAAAAATAAATAGCAGAGGAAGAAATTCAGAAAGTTTCTGCCTAAACCGCTAGAAAGACGTTGTGGATATACTTGGGATAACATCTCAACTCAATTGCTTCTAGTTGTGTGATTTTGGGCAAATCCTGACCTGAGTTCTGTTTATTTAAAGATGGAATGGATTCTATAATGGGACTGAAGTTAAGGAAAGCTCTTCACAGTGTCCAGCCTATGGTTGATGTTCAGAATAGTTAGTCCTTCCGTCTTACCTTCTTTGAGATATAAATTATCTTCAAAAAGTAATAAGGAGGCCCGGACAGAGAGGCTCAGTGGTTGAGCGTTGACCCATGAACCAGAAGGTCACAGTTCGATTCCTGGTCAGGACACATGCCCCGGTTGTGGCTCAATCCCCAGTAGGGGGCTTGCAGGAGGTAGCTGATCAATGTTTGTATCTCATCATTGATGTTTCAATCTCTCCGTCCCTCTTCCTTCCTCTCTTTGAAATCAATAAAAACATATTTTTAAAAAAGTAATGAGGTTTTATATCAAGTGTGCATCACACACAAAAAGAAGAGATAAGGAGATTTGAGACAGATTTCATTGCACAGTAACTTTCAAAGAAGCACCAGCAATGAATTTAAAGAGCATTACAAAGTATTTTTTCTCTTCTTAAATAGAAACAAAGGCTAACTGTAATAGGGACTAAATACATAATAACTCATGCATTTCGATGTTTTAGAAAACCATTGCATAATCAAGACATTCAATTAGAGTTGTCACTAGAGACCTTGAACTAGGCAAGTGCCAAAAGGTGCAAAGACCTACTTACACCTGAGTATTTGTTTATATATATTCATATGTTTTCTTCCCTTGCTGTCCCATCTCCCACAGACCAACTCCTCCCCCTAACAAAGGAAAGCAAAAGAAGTGCACCCATACCTTGAAGGTTTTCCAAATCTTTCTTTTTGTGAGTGTAAATACATCTCTCGGCTGAAATGCAGTTATCCTTATTGGTTTGTTTACATTTTTACATAATATGGTCTGCTTTCCCGTTTACAGTGTTTTTTGCATTTGGAGATTTAAAACTGTGTGTGCTTGCAAGATGCCATTAAAGTCCCTGGACAGTTTATTGCAGTTGTTAAGTAAACAGTTATTGAGTATCTGCTTTGCTAGGCAATGAGCTGAAACAGGGGATGTTGGGATGGTACAGACTCATCATAAAACTTGTAGGTGAGGCATACAGGTACATGTGCTAAATGGCATAATATATATATTTCAAAGAGGAAGGGAGAGGGATAGAGAGATAGAAACATCAGTGATGAGAGGGAATCATTGATTGGCTGCCTCTTGCACACCCCCTACTGGGGGTCGAGCCCGCAACCTGGGCATGTGCCCTTGACCGGAATCGAACCCGGGACTCTTCAGTCCCCAGGCTGACGCTCTATCACTGAGCCAAACCGGCTAGGGCAGCATGATATATTTTTAAGTATCACTTTTGGAAAACATTTAAGAAGTCTTTATGCAAAGAGATTAAAAACTGTGCTTTTTGAAGGGAAAGATTTCCAAAGAGATTTATTGAAATTTTAGATGGAATTGAACTTTATGCCTAATTGAATGAAAAAAAACAAAACACCAACTCTTTATTGTAATGCCTGTTCTGACTTGCACTTTATTATTAGGCCAGTGTTAACTTTACGTTGTTAATTTTAGTCCCTTGCAGATATGCAGCATATTCAGGAAGAAAACCTATCCTCCCCACCATTGGGTCCTCCCAACTATCTACAAGTGTCCAAAGATTCTGCCAGTACTAGTAGCAAGAACTCCTCTTGTGACACGGATGACTTTGTTTTGGTTCCACACAACATCTCGTCAGACCACTCATGTGAGAATCTTTTCTACTTGTACACATTGTATTTTTTAATTTACTAGACTAGCATTTTTTAACCTTTATATATGCTCTCTTATTTAGTTGTTTGAATTCCCAATATTACATGCCTACCTTTCTAAAATCTGCTTGGCCATCTTCCATACAACAATAACTTTGGATTCTGAAGGTACATGAAAACTATAGGAAATGATCTCAAATTCTGTTTGTGTCTAAAGAAATAGAGAAGCCAACATAATAAGAGAAATTAAGTTAAATTTAAGGAGAGGAATTAAGGGAAGACCTCTTTTGGAAAAAACCTAAGGGTCAGAGGAGTCAAAACAATCTGGATGCCTTCAGAGATAATGGCAGGAATGAACATCATAGATAGATAGGAAGAACTTTTATAAAGAAAGATGAATCCAAGTTTCTATACTAAATACTATAGGCCTGTTTATATTGTCTGTGTCTTCATGTGTGAGTTTTGGCAAATTGGGTGTTTTACAGAATTGGTCCATTTCATCTAGGTTATCAAATTCGTGGGACATAGAGTTATTCATAGTAGCACTTTATTATCTA